TGTAAATGTTTTATGGATACAGAAGCAAGATATTGAACAGTTCAGGTGCCGTACACTTTATTTTAACTGCTATTTAGATAGAATACTATTGTTGTCGAATTGAATTTGTCCTAAAGCCCGTGTTTTGAATTGTGCTCCTGCTGGGTTTAAGTTATAATTATGAAAATATCATTTTTATACAGTAAAATAGTTGTTCTAAAAAATTGTGTTCGGAAATTTTTGTTTATTTCGTCATTCCGCTGATATGGCGATTTCTTTGACGACTTGCAATATATTTCTGAATTGTTTGAGTGAATTGCTCTTTATTTTTAAAATATCCAAAATTAAAAAAAAGCCGAACACAATTTTGAAACTGACGTATTTAGCTATGTCCTGTGAAAATTTGAGAAAAATTGGGTATAACCCGCAGGAGCACAACTCGTTTGAAAATCAGTAATTACCGTAAAATTCTTCGTGACAAAATTGAATTTGAATATTACATTTTCAATGTTTTTTCTTATTGCAGCGAAATGTATTTTATTAAATAACTTTGCGAGTTTTCAACATTTTTAGTTCAAACTTGGTCAGATAGTAGAACTAGTCTAATGCTTTCATTGAAACCAATAAAAAAATTTTAGGCAAAATTAACATTCAAAGGTGTTCTGTAACCTTAATCTATTTAAATCTATTTCTTTCTTTCTTTATTTTGGGAGCCCCCCTTAAGCCCGGGGCAAAGTGCCCCCCGTCCCCTCTGAAAGGCCCTGGTCACACTATTGTGTATGAGTGAAGCGTATGAGAAGCGTATAAAAATAATTAAATAATTTTCATACGCACAAAATGTTTTTGAAATGCCAGCGTATGAGTACCGTACATCTGGCGTATCTCTAGCGTTTTCAGCGTGTGCCTAGAGTATGCCTATCGTATAAACCATACGTCCGAATACGCAAAATAATTTTTAAGCATGCTAAAAAAAGTTTCTTCCTCGCCGTATGTCACCGTATGCGACCGTGCTAGAAACGTATACAACTTATGTCTAACGTACCCCTAGCGTATGTCAGCGTTTTCCAGCGTACGAGTGATATTTTCCATACGCTGGCATACGCTAGTCGATACGCAATAGTGTGACAGGGCCTTAAGTCTAATGTCAATAGAAATTCTTTACCGCCAAGCTAATGATATACAGTATAATTATTAACAACTCACGAAATATTTTGCTTTTAGATATTTTCCGTGTGGAAAACGATCCCCGCTGTATTAGTAATTGCTATATACTTGTTCTCATTAATATTTCTTGAATTTTACAACGTTAAAATGTTTATTGTGATCAGCTTCCGATCCGGCTTGCATTTAATCCTCAACTTTTAATCCTGTTAGTTTTGATGTAAGTGCATCTAACAGTTGCCTTACTGTAACATCATCGTTAAACACATCTTGTACTTTAGTATCATCTGGAACATCACTATTTTTAAAGGCATCTTTGACCATCCAATTTTTTATTTTTTTTGTCACCGATATTGGCACCTTTGACCAATTGTATAGCTGTATTTCGTTTTTACATTCATCGGGAACGTTATTAAACATAGCGGGGTGAATTTCTTTACCAGTTTTGTTACTGATTGGCACAATCAAAATATGCGGTAGCTCGTCAAGACCCAAATGTAGCTGCAAAAGTCGCGCATAAACTAAGCACTGGTGTAAATAATCTCCGTATGCGTGTTTATTTTTCTCCCAGAAGAGCAGAAGATCGACCGCCTTCCAATCTACGATGACGTAACGGTCATCAAACCATCCAATTGCGTCAGCGTTTCCGTTCCAAAAAGAAATTTCCAAAGTTTCCTTGTCGCTTATGAACCCGTACAGAGGAAATTCGGTTTGTAAAAATTTAATATCTTTTACAATATTTCCCTCCGATTGTAAGGCTTTTATCACAGCTTCACCTGCTCCATCGCCATGCTGTTCAGGATTATCTATGTATTTTTTAAGGATTCTGTGCCAAATTTTACCTACTTCGGCGCCACTTCCAACCGGACCTCCTTTTTCCAAATTCATATGGTGTGTCAGTTTACTCTGGTTGCCCTGGTGGACAAATTTCTTTTTGATATCCTCGTTTATCTAAAGTAAAAAAAGAAAGGAAACTCGTGAAAATAAAACTAGTCAACAGTGGAGATAATAAATTGTTTAATTTAAACGTAGAGGCACTGAATGACACTCTTATCATAAAGTGAAGGAACAGCAATTATTAAGATTTACTGCAAAATCATTTAAGATTAAACGGAGGGCGAAGACGTTTAACACAGTAATTTCAAAACTTTTTTGTCTTTCGAACTTTACTGTATAAGTCAATCTATTTGCATGTCGATTTTGGTACCATGCATGGTCTAAACTTAGCGAAATAACATTAATATCTTACTCGACTAAAATACTTGATTTCTCTTGCATCTTTAGATGGACTTAACTGTCGAATATTCTTGGGAATTTCACCCTTAGCTGGATTTAATAAATCGATATTTTTTCTCAGTTCTTCCAAAGTTGTCTTTGCTTCTTCTCATCCGCCACCGTTTTCGTTTGGGTTATTGGTAGTCATCGGTTTCTATAATAGACAAATGGTAGACAAATGTTACCTATTTGTTTTATATAATAAAAAGCTAAAATTTGTGGCACCAATGGACATTAATTAATCAAGTTGCGTGAACATGTTAGAAACAGATCGACAAGCAGTTAAAATCGAACAGCTGTCGACTAAGCAAGACAACAATAATTTGAATCACATTGTTGTAGCATATATTTTGGGCAGAGAAATGCTTGAAACAGTTCCGGCCGAACTGTCTAGAGGCTCTCGCTAACTTAAGTTTTATCTAAAGAAACAGGCGAATCTCTAGACTGCAGAGGGGATGTACGTCGTTTAGCGAGTTGAGACTTATTTGGACTGGTGAAGGTGCTCAAAACTGGCCGATGATATACGTAAAAACTGTAGGTTGTTCTAGGAACAAGCGGACCTCTAAATAACAGGGGAACAGGCGG